TGCTTCAATATGTTTACTTCTTCCACGTAGAACTGGATTCTTCTCCAGATTTATGGATGACTTGTTGTTGATTTGCAATACTAGAGGTTTCTTCACTTCGACAGTCATTTCTTCAAGTACAGATCTTATCCAAATTGCTTGATATGCAGTATAGGATCCTGCTATATATTCAGCTTCACACGATGACAATGCCATCACAGGTTGCTTCTTCAAACACCGTGAGATTGGGGCACCAAATACTTGAAAGAAATATCCAGTTGTGCTTCTTCGATCTTCTTTATCTCCACACCAATCAGCATTTGAAAACAATTAACTATTACTTCTTTGCCTTCAGAATCTCGTCGAAATAGTATTCCACAATTTATTGAACCCTTCAAATATCTCAGGATTCTTCTTACAGCCTTCATATGTGACACTCTTGGTTCACTCATATATCTGCTTACTAATCCGACTATGAAACCTATATCAGGTCGATTGTTGCACACATACCTCAGAGATCCTACAATTTGCTTGAACAAAGTTACGTCGACTTTTTTTTCCTCTCCATTCTTCTCCAAATTCACATTTGGTTCGACAGGTGAGAATGCAGGATTTGAATCATCCATTATGAATCTCTTGAGTATCTCTTTGACATACTTTCTTTGATGTAGCATCATACCTTGCTTCGACAATTGAAATTCCATGCCTAGAAAATAAGACAATTTACCTAGATCCGACATTTCAAATTCCTTCATCATCAGCTCTTTGAACATAGACACCATAATCTGATTTGCATTTGACAAATCCCAATTCGACTAAGTATGAGTCGATCTTATTGTTCCATGCCCTAGGTGCCTTCCTGCTTGAGTCCATAGAGCACTTTGTGAAATCTATATACTTTATTCGCTTCCTTATGAATCACAAACCCAAGAGGTTGTGTGACATAAACTTCTTCGTCTAAAGGACCATTCAGAAATGCTGGTTTCACATCTAGATGGAATGTCGATCAGCCTTGGTTGTATGCCAATGCTACCACTAGTCGAACCGTCTCTAATCTTGCTATTGGAGGAAATATTTCAGAGTAGTCGAGTACAACTCTTTGAAGAAAACCTCGAGCTACTAATCTTGCTTTATGTCTTGCTATTGACCCATCTGCATTGTGTTTTAACTTAAACACCCACTTTACTTTGATAGCTTTTGTATGTGCTGGAAATTCGACTAACTCCCATGTATTGTTTCTTTCGATTGCATATAACTCTTTAACCATAACTAACTTCCACTTGTTAAACTTCAAAGCTTCGCTATAGTTGATTGGTTCAGCACCTGCAAGTAAAGCAAAATGAACTAATTCTCCACCTGGTGTGATTTCATCATCACCCACCACTTCATAATCATGAAGTCTTGTTGGAATAACTCTATTTCTTTGAGGTCTTTAGCTTGTTTCAGCCACAGCCTCTTCGACTTCGACTGCATCGGGAGTGTCAGCAACTGCTTCTTCTTCGACTTTGACTGGATTCTCAATAATTCCTTCGACCTCTACTTCATCAGTTTCTTCATCGAAATCAAAGTTCATTAATGGCTTGTTAATTGAATTGTTAGAATTCAAATCCCAGGCAGAATTTTCATTAATCATAATATCTCGACTCAACACAATCTTCTCATTGACTGGATTGAATAGTCTGTATGCACCAGTTTTGTGATATTCTACCAGAATCATAGGTTGACTCTTGTCATCAAGCTTCCTTCTCCTTGCACCAGGAACATGCTTGTAATACATAGAGCCAAACACCTTCAAATAACTTACTGATGGTCGTTTTCCACTCCACACTTCTTCAGGAACCTTGTTTTTCAATATCTTAGTAGGACACCTATTCAAAATATAGACTGTAGTCGAAACATCTTCTCCTCATAAAGACTTTGGCAAATTCTTTTACTTCAGCATGCACCTCACCATATCTAATATGGTTTTGTTTCTTCTTTCAGCAATTCCATTATGTTGAGGTGTATAAGGAGCAGTTACCTCATGATCAACACCATGTTCTGCACAGAAATCTTCAAACATCTTGGATGTGTATTCGCCACCTCCATATGTTTGCAGAACTTTGATCTTCTTCTCACTCTGGTTTTTGACAAGTATCTTAAATCTCTTAAAGATTTCGAATACTCTGCCCTTTCGTTTGATCACATGGATCCACAGCTTTCGACTAAACTCATCGATAAACGAAACAAAATATATGTTTCCACCAATTGTACATTCTTCGAATGGACCTCATACATCTGAATGCACCACTTCGAGAATGCAGGATGATCTCATATATTCAAAACGAAAGAATTTCTGGATTGCTTTCCCACTAAACAACCTTCATAAAGTTTTTCAGGCATCTCAAGGCTTGGAATACCAGTAACTATTTCTTGAGTAATCAGTTGATTAAGTGATCGAAAATTCAAATGTTCAAACTCAAATTCCACAACCAACTATCCTCGTGGTCGACAACAGTTTTCAAACATTGAACTTCTGTCTAACTGATCATAGTCTTAAATGTCCTATTCTTCGACAATGAAGATTTTAAGACAAAATTATTCTTGGTGTCGAACAATTTTAAAACTCCACCTTTCATGACAATTGAGAAACCTTTTTCGACTAGTTGTCCAACACTTAGCAAGTTGCATTTTATTCCAGGTACATAGAGCACATCTTTGATCATAGCTTTCCCTCCATTACTCATTTGAAAGACTATGTTTCCAGTACCTTCTGCTTACAATGAACTATTATCAGCAAGTTTTACCTTGCTCTTCTTCGACTCGTCAAAATCTGCCAACCACTCCTTTCGACCAGTCATGTGGTTTGAGCAGCCTGAGTCGAGAAACCAGATCTTGGATTCGACATGGTTATCTGCAACTGCAGCCATAACCACCATACCACCTTCAGAATCATCTAAATCTTGGCGTGCAAGGTTCACTCATTCGTCATTGCTTGTCGATCCCTTGTCTTTTCTGTACCAATAATTCTTGGCCAACTGTCCCCACTTTTCACAGTTATAACATTGCATACCTTTCTTATCTTCTTTGTCCTTTCGATAGTTTCCTCCTCCCGTTTTCGAGAATTCAGAAGATCTATCTTCGACCTTATTCTTATGGGGATTCGACCAAGACTTTTTGCCATGAGTCTTGTCGGACTTGCCTTTGAATTTGTTGGAACCACCATCCTTTTTCCATGACTGAGCTTGCAGTGCCTGTATCGAGTCCTGAACTCATTTCCTTTCGATAATCTTCATCTCATGCGCCTCCAACGAACCAACCAAATCTTCCACGTTAGTGGTTTCAAGATTGTTGGATTCTTGAATAGCTACGATAACGTGATCAAAGTGAGAGGTCAACATTCTCATTACCTTCTCAACTATCATCTTATCAGTAATGGTTTCACCACAACCCTTCATGAGATGGACGAGTTTTTGAACCTTCGACACATATTCTGCAACTTTTTCATCTTCTCCCATCGACAACAACTCATATTATCGATGCAAGGTTTGTAATTTGACAACCTTGACTTTCTCACCTCCTTCGTAATACTTCACCAGAATATCCCATGCCTCCTTCGCCATTTCAGCATGAGAGATTCTGTCGAAATTAGCAGCATCGACAGTCGTTTGAATGCAATAAACAACCTTGTAATCTTTCTTCTTGACTTTGTTGTGGGTTTTTTCTGTTCGTCGGTTGCATTTGCATCCAACGTAGGAACGCCGTCAGTAACCACTTCTAGGGGTTTCATGGAAGTCAAATAAGGATTGCATCTGTTTTTTTCATCGGATCCATTTTTTACCGTCAAGCATTGGAAGAGAATTCAGAATACCCTTATCACTAGCCATCTTTACAACGGTTGATTCACTTGCTCTAGAAACACGATCTCTGACGTGAAATTCTTGAAAACTTGATCAAGAGCAATAATCGGAAGCTCTGGTACCAATTTGTTAGTGTGTGAGACACTTTTAGTGAGTAGAGAAAGAGAAAATAATAAAGAAAATAAAGATTTGTATTATTGAATTGTACAAATAATGATTAACACTATGACTATTTATATACAATCCTAATTGAGTTTGAGTTAACACAACTTGGATCATATTTAAATATTAAATCTAATAAAATCTAATTTAATTTAATATTTTAACAAATCTAATTTAATATTTCAACTTATTCACCATCATTTTTATCATTTGTCTTGTTAGGCGAGCAATAAAAGCAATTACATTATTGGTCTTTTCATCTTCACTCTCGTCTTCAATTTTTTCATCTGAAAGAGTAACAGAATATTCCCTTCTTTTACTTCATGAGAAAATTGGTACATTCTGCTTGGATGTGTCCAAAACCTTTCAATTCATGAAACAGGTAGTATATAGCTTTTCATAGCTTTGTTGTAAACGCCTAATCTCGTGGTAGAATATATGCATACCGCTACTTGCATGATCATGTTTTTTGTTTCTAATGGTTCGGGAGTCAAACGATAGGATGATATTTCCCTAGCGTAATAACATCGACAAATAGGTCTATTGTCCCAATCATGCTACATCAATCATTGTATTTGTCTACTTACTAAGCTCAAAATTAAAATTCTATAAGCGGTCGGTGGAATCTTGTTCTTGTATTTGAGCTGTATTTCTTGAAAAAGAAAAATAGACAAACATATTCAATGACTTTTCATCACTCGTGCTCTTTTTCTAAAATACCATCTCACAAAATGAAAGAAAAACTCTATCAAGAATGAAATCCAGTAATAATTGTGATAAACAACATAGTGGAATGCACCTTTAGACATTCAGTGATATCATCTCAGTCATTTGAGATTAACAATTACAGCACCAAGTTTGCAAAGTCCTACTTCTCTCTTGAATATAGTAGTACTATATATATTGATAGGGTCACACAATTACAGAAAGTCAAATATACCCAAAATATTACAACATAGACAACAACAACAACATAGACAAATAGATGCTAGATGAAGTAGAGAACCTTCATCAAACTAATCAAGGGAACTGGAAATTCATGAAATCTTGGGGCCTTCCACCAGCAGGAGGGTGAACATAAACCCAAAGCAAAGATATAATAATTGAGAGTAAACCAGACCAAACGTAGATAATGGTTGGAACCTTTCCTCTTCTTCCCAAAAGCCCTTTTGCAAACGGATAAAGATGACACAGAACCCAAATGCTGAAAAACAATCCTCCAACAAGTTTACTCCATTGCGGAAATGGACTATATAGAGTCCTGGCTACTCCCACAGCAATAGCAATAGTATTCACCATCATAATTGTGATTGGAGGTACCATTAGGAAGCTCCATTTCACTACATAAAGATCAGCAAACTCATCTTCTCCATCTTCTGGTGTTGCTGACTTTGATGTCAATGTGAATGAGATGTCTACTCCTGCTATTACCTTCAACAATCCTTGTAAAACAGCTGCGGGATGTGCACTTGTTCCGCCGATTACCCAAAACTGTTCATTTCTCCACCAATCATGTAGTGTGATACCTGACCACTTGATCTCAAGTAGTGCAAGTAAGCATAGTGTGACTGTGATTCCAAGCAAGAACACTAGAAAAGTTACGCTGAGTGATTGGACTATAAACTGTCCTGAAAATAAGGATAATGCAGGTAGAAAGCAATACACAATCAGAAACATTGAAGTGAAAGGGTACATTCCAACATTGAAATATGCTACCCTTTGCAAGAATTTCATTCTAGGACTCGCCAATAACGCGTTGTTTCTTGAGAAGAAGATTTCGACGGAACCTGTTGCCCAACGAAGCACTTGGTGTAGCCTGTCTGTTAAATTGATTGGAGCTGTTCCTCTAAATGCATCTCTTTTTGTCACACAGTAAACTGATCTCCATCCTCTATTGTGCATTCTGTAACCAGTCACAACATCTTCTGTGACAGAACCATATATCCACCCTACTCTTTTCCCCCACTCAGTTTTATCCTCATAGTAACAAGATATGACACTAATTGCCTCAGCAACAGTAGCAGCATCTAACGGCTCCCGAGGCACGGCAAGAGAACCTGCAGGCCTTCCTTGTGTTCCATTTCCTTTTGAATCTTGAAGCAACCTTCCTTGATATTCTGCTACTGGAATGGATGCAGCTAAAGAAGTGGAATTTCCAAACCTTTTGGGAAGAAGCAGGGATTCTATATCTGCGTCATCATCGTTGTGATCGCAACTGATTGGCACACAAACTTCATCTTCTTCCTTTTTTGACACCTTAGGCTTTCTCAAAAACAACTTAATTTTCCTCCTTCCAAACCATCCATGATGTTCAGAAGCTCTAGGTGGACTAAAACCATAGAGAGCTGTTCTTCTGAATATGCAGCCAGTTCCAACATACATTGGACCTTGTAAACCATCAAGAGCTCTCATGCTCACATCAAAGAAAACCGTGTTGTGATTTGCGTATCGATCGCTAGGGTCAATACCTTCAAACCTTTGAGGGAATTGAACATAGCATATCCTGTCACCACCTCTGTCAAGCATAAAGCACATACCTTCTCTGATGGCTAATGAGTTGTAGATGTAATGATCACAGTCAAGATTGAGAATGAACGGACCATTGGACATGATGGCACTAGTTCGAACAAGAGCATTCATGGCGCCAGCTTTCTTGTTGTGATCGTATCCCGGCCTCTTCTCACGAGACACATAAACAAGCATTGGCAACCTAACATCAACATCTGTTGAGTCAATCAAGTTCTCTCCATCAGCTTCTGTGCCATATTCTGGTTCTACATTTGGAGGAGCCAACATTGCCTGCAAAAAAAGATTAACAAAACATTATTATTATTAAACACAAGACACAACACCAAGATAATGATAATCTATATTACAGTAGTATAAAACACTAGATTATTTCACACAAGACACAGCACCAAGTAGTTGACAGTGCTGAAGAAGATACCTAGATCTATGCTTCAGAGACTACATTAGTATAAAACAATACATTACTACACACAAGACACAGCACCAAGTAGTTGAAAATGTTGAAGAAGTTGCCTAAATCTATGATTCAAACTCTATAAGTTAGTGATATCCAATATCTATAACTTAAACAGTATAATAGTACTCATAGAACACAACATTATTATTGTTACACACAAGACACAACATCAAGTAGTTGATAATGTTAATGAAATTACCCGAATCTATGATTCAAACTCTATAGTTAGGTGATATCTAATATCTACGGTTTATAGGGTATAGTAGTACTCATAAAACACAACATTATAATTATTACACACAAGACACAACATCAAGTAGTTGATAATGTTGAAGAAATTACCTGAGTTTATGATTCAAACTCTATAGGTAGTAGTGATATCTAATATCTATGATTTAAACACTATAGTAGTGCACATAAAACACAACATTGCTATCATTACATACAAGACACAACCAATAAATAGATAATGTTGAAGAAGTTATTACCTGAATTATACCAGCATGGTCACCTCTAGAGTGGTCGGGTTCTGCTGATGGCCAAGTTCCAGGCCAATGAGAACCATCAGACATCCAAGTTGCTCTAGGGACCTTAATGAGGTCAGAAATATCAGAACCCGTTTCCATCTGTTTCTTCTTGGCTCGTAACTCCTCATGAGCATTGTAAGCATCTGATCTTCTCCTTATAGATTCAGGTAAGGAATTGATCCTCACTTTGAATTCATCATATTCCCTCTTCACCCTTCTCCTCTCCCTAACAAAGTCCAACCTAACTTTGTTCTTAAGAAAATCGCGCTTCTGGCCGAAATAAGCTTCAGGATTTCTCGGCTCAATATGGTGCTTTTTACAGAAAGGAACCCAAACTCTTGCAAAACTAGCAGTCTCTGCAAGAGCTTCAAATGTCAAAAGAGCTCCACCATCATCAGACAAATAACAAGCAACTTTTTCCACCGGATAATCAACTGCAAGAATAGACAAAATGGTATTTGCAGTGACAAGAGGTGGCTCCTTTTCTGGATCTGCTGTTGAAACAAAGACATCAATTCCAGGGAGATCAGACCTCCCTTTCGGATTTCTTAGATTCGGTGACTCGAACCGATCTATCAAAACAGCCAAATCAGTAACTCTGTTCACCGGACACAGCTTGGGAAGCTGATCAAGAAGCCATGAAAATGCAAACCATAGTTCACAAGTCACTGACATTCCCCACAACCACATTGCCTCATGGTTCCGGTGTCGAATCCTCCATGTAAGAAACAAACCAAGTGCAGCAAGACGCATCAAAATTAGCAACCTTAACAAACAAACAAAGAAACACATTAGGAATTGGAAAGTTAGAATTCAGTCAAACATGTTGTTTCCATCAAAATCAAAAGCTTGGAATTCGAAAAGACTGACCTATAAGGACTAAGAATTGCAGCTGAAACCCCAACTTTCCTAGTCAAAGGTCTTCTACTTTTCTTCCCAAAATCCGGAGGAGGTTCATATCCATTGGAACCATATCCATCTTTAGGCCAAACAGCATTTCCATAACCATAAGTTCCTTTAGTTTCAAAGAGCCAACGAGTATGATCAAACTCCGGTGGTTGATTCTGCGCTTTAAAAGATTTCACAAGAGAAAGCCTCTTATCCAGCTTGAATTCCGCCATGGAAGGTAAAGGTAAAGCCTGATCTTCACACTCAGACACCTCTTCCTCCTCCTCCTCTTCTTCTTCTTCGCTATCACTAACATTGTTGTAAGGTTCTTTACATCCGGGACATTTACCACCACCTCGATTTCCATTTCCACAACACTCTTTGTAACAATCCCTGCAAATTTTGAACCCGCACTCACAAGTACAACTCTTAATCGCGTCCTCGTCGCATCCTTTCATTCCGCAGATCAATTTAGATTTCAACAGCTGAGGATCATCGCGTTCGTTGGAGCATTCGATGACATGACCTCGTGTGACAGAGTTAAAACCTCCGGTAAAGATTGTACCGGAGATGTAGTTAGGGTTATTTCTCGCGTTTTCTTCAGGGAGGCTTGTTTGAGAAGACGAAAGTGGCATACGATCTGGCGTAGGAGGAATGTGAACTGTGTATGATACGTATTCCGTAGTTGTTTCTTCTGTACCATCGGAGTAGTTACCACCAGCTGATAACCTCCTTCCGGTGGAAAGTCGGTTTGAATTAGGGTTGTTCGAGACGGAATGACGTGGTTGTGGACTTGTTAGACCGATGCTTCTTCTTCGACTTCCTCCGGCTTTTCCGCCCGAGGAGACGGTGATTTTCACCGGAGAAGAAGAAGAAGAAGTGGTCACCATTCTTGGAGAGAGAGAGAGAAAAAAGCGGTTATTGTAATAGAGAAAAGAAGATTAGATTGTTTGGGTTTTCATTTGGAAAGTGAATGAGAATGAAGGTGGAGAAGTGGGTTTAGTTAAGGAGAAGATTTGAATTTGAATAAAAAGAAAAAGTTTGGGGTGGGATTAAATGCAACGGTCGATAAATCTGGACCGTTTATTTAGATGGATCTGGGATATGCTTTTTGTGATTTGGTATATAAATATAAAACGGTCCGTTTGTTAGTAGTCAACTTTATACTCAACCGTCTTTTTAAAAGGAGTTTCAACTTTTGTTTTTTAAGTGTAATTTTTTATTCTTACTATAGAAAAAAATTTATTTGTTATATTTGATTCATTTATTAATTAATTACACTCCATCTTTTAAGGAGATGGTGTCTCCACTTCATCTTCTCATTCTCTTTCTCTTGTTTTTCTTTTTTAATTTTTAATTTCATTTATACTCTTTTTTAATTTTTAATTTCATTTATACAAACATTTTATTTCTAATACATTTTTTATCTGCAAATTATATTTCTCTTCCACAAATTACATAAAAGCATTTTAAATTAACTTTCTTAACTGAAAATTGCAACCAACAACTTACTAATAAAAGAAATTTTATCTCCGCTACAGCACTCACAACTTACTTGTGATTATTAAAATTATTTTGGTCAATAAACTATGTTATGTTTTTTTTAAGTAAGATATATTATAACTGAGTACTAAAGGTATTCTATCTCGATTACAAAAATGAGATAAACGTGAGAATAAAGAAATTACACTCCAATTAAAATTTAAGACAATAATATAATGATTTTTGCAAAACACATAAAAATTACAATTGAAATGAATAATTTTTCTGATGAAAGACCATATCCACACACTAAAGCCTTGACATTTCAAACTATATCTAAAACATTCCAAACTTCGCTCCGGAAAGTGATTTCTTTCCTTAAAATCTAAATAGTATAAAACATTTCAAAGTAATAATTCTGATGATTTTATTCATTGATCAATGTACTATACACAAAAGAGTCCCTATAATTCATCTTCTATTAAGGGAATAAAATAAATTATTTACAGCACAAGTATTTTCCTACTTAATTTAGCTAAAATATCTTTGACTTATGTTAACACCCCCACTCAAGTTGGTGCATGGATATCACACATTCCCAACTTGAACAAAGACTCATTAAACACCTTACTTGTCACTCCTTTAGTGAGAACATCTGCTAACTGAAATTCAGATCTTACAAAAGGAAAAAAAATCATTTCAGCTTCAAGTTTCTCTTTGATAAAATGTCTATCGATTTCTACTTGCTTCGTTCTATCATGTTGCACAGGATTGTGCGCAATGGCAATTACTGAAGTATTGTCACAATACAAAGTCATAGTCTCTCTTGGTTCAAAATCCAAATCTGATAGAACATTTCGTATCCATAAAAGTTCACAAACTCCTAGTGTCATGCCTCTAAACTCAGCTTCAGCACTAGACCTTGCTACTACCTGTTGTTTTTTACTCCTCCAAGTTACAAGATTCCCCTACAAATGTAAAGTAACCAGAGGTAGACCTTCTATCATTTCTTGAACCTGCCCAATCAGCATCGGTATACCCTTCTACCTTCAAGTTTCCATGATTTGAGAATAAAATTCCTTTTCCAGGAGTGGACTTCAAATATCTCAAGATCCTTTCAACAGCATCCATATGAGCTTTTCTGTGGGTCATGCATAAATTGACTAACGACATTTACTGCATATGTAATATCTGGTCGTGTATGAGACAAGTAAATTAGTTTTCCCACCAACCTCTGGTATTTTCCTTTGTCTATGCTGGCTGAATTTTGGCATTGAAATAGCATATGATTTTGTTCAATTGGGGTATCAACAGGTTTACACCCAAGCAGTCCCGTTTCAGATAGTAAATCAAGATTATACTTTCTCTGGCATAGAAAAATACCATGTTTAGATCTAGCTACTTTAATACCCAAGAAATATTTGAGGTTTCCAAGTTGCTTCATCTCAAATTCAGAAGCGAGGTATTTTTACAAACTAGACATCTCATCTTGGTCATTCCCTGTAACAATCATATCATCTACATAAATAATCAAAGATGTGATTTTACCTCCTCCTTTCTTCAAAAATAAGGTGTGATCAGAGTTACTTGCTTTATAGCCAAAAGCCTTCATAGACTTAGTAAACCTACCAAACCATGCTCTTGGGGGTTGTTTTAATCCATATAGAGCCTTTCTTAACTTGCAAACCTTCATCTCATTTGAATCTATCATACCTGGTGGTAGATCCATATAAATTTCTTCTAAAATTTCTCCATGTAGGAAAGCATTTTTCACATCAAATTGTAGAAGAGGCCAATCTTAGTTTGCTGCTAGTGACAAAAGTATTCTCACAGTGTTAAGCTTGGCTACCGACGCAAATGTCTCTTGATAATCTACACCGTAAGATTGAGTGTAACCCTTAGCCACTAGTCGTGCTTTATACCTCTCAATAGTTCCATCAACTTTGTGTTTAATTGTATAAACCCATTTGCACCCCCACAGTTTTCTTCCCTTTTGGTAACGTCACAAGATCCCAAGTGTTGTTTTTTTCTAAAGCTGCCATTTCCACAACCATTGCTTCAGTCCATCTAGGATCTGCTAAAGCTTCCTGCACATTACTAGGAATAGAAATTGAAGATAATTGAGATACAAATGATGCATATGACTTAGATAACTTGTGAGATGACACATAATCACTAATGGGATATTTAAATTTGGACTGAAGGTCTAGTTCATATCTAATGGAAGGTTGACCACGGTTAGAACGAGGTGGAAGATTATATTGGACAATAATGGATTCAGTGTTAGGTGTGTTGGTGGTCTCATGGAAACTAGGGTCAATTTCATGATCAATTTCATGAGAAAAGGAATCAAGTTCAGAATGAACATTAGTACCTACTTCAGAATGAACATTAGTATCAACTCCATTGATAATTGTATTATCGAGAATATAATTAGGAAATACCTCTGGAGAGTTAACTTGATCTTGTGGAGAAGATTGAGTTAGTTGATTATCGTCAGGGGAAACTATATTATCTAAAGGTGATGTGTCCATATTTGAGATTGATTCATTACCTGCAGAATGATCCTCACAAGATAATTTATCTTCACAAAATAAGTCAAACTTGCTAACATCATGGTGTTGCACTTCACTTTCATTCCCCCCTTGAAGTGTAGAATCAACATAGAAAGAGTTATCTTCATGAAAAGTTACATCCGTTGAAATATAAATTTTTTTAGATGATGGATGATAAGTACGATAACCTTTTTGAGTTGATCCATACCCAACAAAGACACATTTAAGAGCTCGTTTTTCAAGTTTTGTACGTTGATATGGGTGTAAGTGAACATATATAACACATCCAAAAACATGAGGTAGTAAATGAACAATGGAAGGGAGAACATGATGCAGATAAAACATCTAGAGTTCTTCTAAAGTTATGCACACTAGAGGGGATTCGATTAATTAAGTAAATTGTTGAATTCACAGCCTCTCCCCACAAATGAGATGGAACATTCCCATCAATTAGGAGCGTTCTAGTAACTTCTAATATGTGTCTATTTTTCCTCTCGGCCGCCCCATTTTGTTGGGGGGAATAAGGACATGTTGTTTGATGCAAAATGCCCTTAGAGTTCAAATTTTTTTTTAATTCTTTCTTAAAATATTTCCCTCCATTGTCTGATCTAATTACCTTAATACATGTGTTAAATTATGTTATTATCATTTGATGAAAGGAGCGAAGCACATCATATACATCACTTTTATGTTGTAGCAGATATACCCAGGTTACCCGTGTACAATCATCAACAAAACTAATAAACCATTTTTTCCATTATGTGTAGATTGTGGAGCAGGACCCCAAACATCAGTGTGTACTAAAGAGAAAGGAAAGTCTGTTTTCTTATTACTCAAGGGAAAAATAGCACGATGACTTTTTGCCATAACACAAGTTTCACAAAGAAAATCTGAAATATTGCATTTATGAAATAACGATGGAAACAATTTTTTTAGATAACTAAAAGAGGGACGCCCCAATCGTCTATGCCATAGCCAAATATTTTTTTCATTTTGATCTTGTATGTGATCACTTGCAAGATGAACCAATGCTCCTTTATGGATTTGTGAAACTTTTTCAAGATAATACAGCCCTTCACTATATCTACCACTGCCAATCTTCTCCTTGGTATGTATATCCTGAAAAACACAGTGGGTTGGATAAAACACAGCAACACATGAATGTGATTTTGTTAATTTACTGATAGAGATGAGATTTCAATTCAAGGTAGGAACAAATAAGACATTAGGTATTGATAGGGAGGGTGATAGAGTCATTGTACCAACACCTTCAATGGGAGATTCCACTCCATTGGCAATAATAATAACAGTTTTATGACAATTAGGAGAGAAATTAGTAAACATGTATTGATCACAAGTTATATGATTAGTAGCACTTGTATCGATTATCCAATCTCTATTTCTAATAATAACAGAAGGATTATGAGCAGAGTTAGACATACCTGACTTGGTTACGAAGCCGACAGCAGTAGAAAGATGAGCCTTGTTGTTTTCTGTCTTATTATTCGAAGTAGTTTTTCCCTTTGGATGCCACTCCGGGTAGCCATGGAGCTTAAAACATGTCTCCATGACATGATTATCTCCATTACAGTGATTACACTTGTGGATTTATTTCTTCAGATACTTCTTGACATCTAAGGCGGAACCATTCGAAGACTCACCGCTTAGCATAGCTTCTTGGGATTCGCCTCTGCACATACAATTGCATAGACTGATTGAACATTAGGAAGCGGAGTGGTAGCCAGAACACGACCACGAACTCCATCCAAATGTGAATCCAAACCAGCCAATAAAACATAAACTCGTTGAGAATTAACCATCTTATTGTATTTCTCAACATCTTTAGTGCATTC